GTTTGAGGCAGAAATCCTTGAACTTTGTGTTGTCGAACTGCTTGCCATTGTCCGTCACAATAGCATTAGGTATGTCGAAGCGATAGACAATGTTTGTCTAAATGAAGGTCGTGACTCTGGCCTCCGTGATTGTCGAGAGTGCCTCGGCCTCGGCTACAACGGCATACTTAGTATGTCCCTTACCCAATGGGAAAGGTCCGATTAAGTCCATTCCCCATTGTGCAAAGGGCCATGGAGCTGAGATCGGAGTCAGCAGCTTAGGAGGCTGATGGATGATGTTCATGAAGCGCTGGCAGTTGTCACACGCTCTCACAAACTCTTTTGCGTCTCGGTCGACCGTGGGCCAGTAATAACCTTGACGAATGACCTTGGCCGACAAGGACCTGACCTCCGAATAATTGCCACAGACCCCTTCGTGTACTTCCCTAAGAACATAGTTCCCATCTTCTATGGAAATGCACTTCAGGAGGGGTAAGGAAAACCCCTGCCGGTACAATAATCCATCTCGGAGTAGGTACCGAGTTGCTTTCCGTGTCATCTTCTTTGCTTCCTTCGGGTATGTTGGGATATTGCCTTCTAGGAAGTCCCTGATTGGATCCATCTATGATGGAGGCTGGGAGTCAACTTCCATCACATCTGGCTCTAGGATAGAATGGTTATCCAAGATTTCCATTGAGACTGATCTCGCCAGGTTGGTCTCATACGCAAATGCCAATTTGGCTAAAGCATCAGCATTGGAGTTCTCTAACCTTGGAATTTGGCTTATTTCATAAGCTTGGAAGTAGGTAAGGTGCGACCTGACCTTTCCCAGATATTTCTCCATCCGATGGTCTTTTGCCTGATACTCTTCCTTGATTTGATTCACCATCAGCTGGGAATCGCTGGAAATCTGAAGGTGGCTGGCTCCGAGTCCCCCTACCATGCGTAACCCGGCCAACAGGGTTTCGTACTTGGCCTCATTGTTTGAGGTACGGAAATTGAAGCGAAGGGCATACTCGAAACGCATGCCATCCGGGGCATGGAGAAGCACTCTTGCGCCACAACCTCTTTCATTTAAAGATCCGTCCATATACATCGTCCACAGTTGGTCGGACTCGGAGGTTTGAGCTGGTGGAGGAGTGAGTTCTGCTATGAAATCTACAACGATTTGCCCCTTCACAGCCGTTTGGGGTTCGAACTGGATATCATACTCGCTCAGCTCCATAGCCCATTTCATTAAACGGCTAGACGTCTTTAGCTTACAGAAAACTTGCTTCAATGGCAAGTTTGTGACCATGGTCATGATATGGGCTTGGAAGTAAGACCTCAGCCTGCGTGCCGAGGTGACTAAGGCGAAGGCCAGTTTCTCCATTTGGGGATACCTAGTCTCGGCCTCGGTCATGACTTTACTTGTGTAGTAAACAGGATTTTGTTGTACTTCATCTTGCTTGATTAGGGTCGAGCTGACTGCGTTGTCTGACACGACCAAGTACAAATGTAGCTTGTCTCTTGGCAGGGGCTTCGCGAGCAACGATGCCGAGCAGAGGTAGCTTTTGAATTCTTCAAAGGCTGTTTCACACTCGATCGTCCATTCAAAAGGTCTATTCTTCCTTAGAGTTTTGAAGAAAGGGATGCATTTATCCGTGGACCTGGAGACAAACCTATTGAGGGAAGCAATTCTCCCATTAAGGCATTGTAGCTGCTTAAGGGTCTTTGGGGCTTGCATCTCAAGCACAACCTTTATCTTCTCCGGGCCTCTATTCCTCGGTTATTCACCATAAACCCAAGAAATTTGCCAGATGAAACTCCAAAGGCACACTTGACAGGATTCAACTTCATCTGGTACTTGCGAAGGACCCCAAAAGTCTCAGTCAAGTCGGCCAGGTGCGACCTGGACTGCTTGCTCTTCACAAGCATGTCATCCACGTAAACCTCTATATTGCGTCTGATTTGGTTGGCAAACATTTTGTTTACCATCTTTTGATAACTTGCCCATGCATTCTTTAGACCGAAAGGCATGACCTTATAGCACTACAGACCTTGATCGGTTATGAAAAAGGTGTGGACTTGGTCTGGTTCGTGCATCTTTATTTGGTTGTATCCAGAGTAGGCATCCATGAAGGTGAGCAGCTCGTGTCCGGCCGTAACGTCTACGAGCTGGTCGATCCTTGGTAGTGGGAAACAATCTTTTGTGCAGACGTTGTTAAGATTGATGAAGTCCACACACATTCTCCACTTTCCGTTGGATTTTTTAACTAAGACAACGTTAGAGAGCCATTCGGGATACATAATTTCTTTAATATATTCAGCTTTTAGCATTTTCCTTACTTCCTCAACAATTACATCACTCCTCTCCTTATTTACAGGTCTTTTTTTCTATTTAATAGGTCGGAATCATGGGTCGATGTTGAGGCGATGGACCATTATCTTTGGATCAATGCCCGACATGTCCTCATGAGACCAAGCGAACACGTCCGAGTTTGCCCTGACAAAGGAGATGAGCTCTTCCCTGTCCGCGACCCCCAGCTTGGTGCCTATGCTCACTTGCTTCTTTGGACTAAGCAAAGGGACAAGCTCCAACTCCTCTGTGGGCGCAGCTACCTCTCATTTGTTAGTTTGGGGCAGTTCGTCCTCGGGAGTTTGAGTAGATGGATTTGGAATATTTGACTGTTCTTCCAAAGCACACATTGCTGATCCCTTGAGTGTAGATGTATAGCACTCTCGGGATGTTTCTGCTCTCCTCGGATCATGGCGACTCCGTTGATCATAGAGTACTACATGACTTAATGTAGAGTCGACGGGATGGCCCGAAGTGAATGAATAATAGGTCGGCCGAAAATGGCATTGTAGGCCGATCGGCCATCAATCACCACGAACTCGGCCATTTGCGTGACTTGGGCGTCACCTTGGCCGATGGTAATAGGAAGGTCAATGCAGCCTTTGGGGGTGACTGATTCTCTTGCGAATCCAACTAAGGGTGTTGGACTCTTCTTCAACTGTGCCTTGGTCCATCTCAGCGTTAAGTAAGTGGTAAGAGATAGAATGTTGGCCGAAGCACCTCTATCCATTAACACCTTTCTGACCTGAACGTGGTCAATCAGCAGCGAGATCACCAAGGCGTCATTGCGGGGCAAATGTACCCCCTCAAAGTCGGAATCGGAGAAAGAGATAGGGTAGGTCGGCTTCCGTTCTTGAATGGTGCAGACTTCACACCGAACCTCCCTGACAAGCTCCTTCCTCTTGTTTCGGGATTGGCCTCCACTAGGGCCGCCAAAGATGGTATTGATGACCGCAGGTCGGTCATCCCTCCGAGGTGGCGTCTTTGAACGCTTCCTCTCTTGTTTCTTTTCTACCGAGCTCGAGCCTAACTTGCCTACATATTTTTTGAAGTAGCCATCTTGAATCAGGTCTTCAATTTGGTGCTTTAACTCCCAATAACTCATGGTATCATGGCCATGGTCGTGATGAAATCGACAGTACCTGTCCTTGCTGCATTTCTTGAGGTCTCCTCTAGGCTTATGAGGTCGCTTGAGGAGCTTTTCTAAACCGTTCTCCTCGATATTGGTGAGAATCTCAGAGATCAGAATGGTGGTTGGAGTGTACCTCTCATAAGGCCCTCTCGGATCTCCTATAGTCAGATCGATCCTGGGAAGACGATCTTTTGTCTTTAGACTTGGAATCAGACTTCCCTTTTCTCTTGGCCACCTGACTTCTTCTGGTCGGACCTCTTGTCCGTCTGACCTAACTTGGTTCTAAGTAGCTCTTGCGCATCTATGACCTTCTTAGCCTCTGTAAGACCTCAGCGAAGGTTGATCGCACTTCCTCGCCCAGCTTGACTGTCAGAGTCTCGTCGGCCAGGCCAGTGAGAAAGTAACACATGGCCGAGTCGTCAGAGCAATGCGCGACCTTAAGCTGCTCCTCTTAGAAGCGGGTCACGTATTCTCTCAAAGTCTCGCCTTCTTTCTGTCGGATGGTGGCGAGATGGATGGCTGTCTCTCTGTCATAGTGCCGAGAAGAGAACTGGCTGATGAACTCTTTCCCCAGCTGACTGTAGGTCGAGATCAACCTTGCTGGTAGCCTCCTATACTAGAACCGAGCACTCCCCATGTCTATCTCTTTTATAACACTTATAAACTATAGGCATGCTTCATAACCATACATTCAAATCATAATTTGAATCTATCATGCATACTATACTTTATAACTACTTATAAGATATCTCATGCATGATACATAGTAGTTATAAAGTATAGTATGCATGATAGATTTAAATTATGATTTGAATGTATGGTTATGAAGCATGCCTATAGTTTATAAGTGTTATAAAAGAGATAGACATTAAAATCCATAATAAAGATAATATGCATGCTCACTTAGGGTTAAATGGCCAATGCAAAAGTTTTCATAGGCAAAAACTAGGTCGTTTCTCATAAATTGGTAAAACATGAACACTCACCCGATAAAATCTTGTCTAAGGCTGGGGTATTTAAGTTGACGGTTTACGGAACACCCCCTACCTGGAGATTGAGTCGGTTCTTGAGTTGTGTTAACCAATTTCATGAGCATGCGTGAGCGGTGTGAGGTAATAAAATTGGTTTATCACCTAGACATCGTAGGTTTAAATCCAATATAAGAGTTATATTTGGATGAATCACCTAGACTTAGGATATGTTTATTTAGCCTGAATATATGCCTAAAGTGAAAATATACCCTAAAACCGTCTAGAACACTTCAGCTGGAGATTAGTAACATATTATTAGCTCTAGCGTCCCTAAGAGTTCACAACGTGAGATCCATGCTTGGCTTCGTGCCGCCCTGGGAGCGGCCTCCCTTCGGAGAGTGTTTGCATGGGTTATGAACAGGGTGAATAGGGGAAGTAGTTCATAGTAAGTGGGTGAAGGATTAGTGTCAACAAAATCCTACGGTCTCTTCCATTAGGTCGCACCGTGAGAGTCCTATAATGCGCCTGCATGTCTGCCCTGGAGCGACCTTACCAATCGGAGGGTGGTATTATAGGATTCGGAACACCGCGAACTCCTAAAAGGATAGGATTTCTTAGATTCGTTTTCAATCTTGACTTTCCAATTTTGGGAGCATATTGATCCTAATCTTAGAAGTTTGAAAGTGGAAGGTCACACTTACAAGAATTACTAAGAGTTAGTATATTCTTGACCAAACCAAACGATAACTAAAGGCTATAGGAATAACAATTATTCTGGTATTAGCATTTAGTCAAGATTGTCTTAATTCAATGGAGTAATGGTTGACTGCCTCTCGGTGGAGGCTGTTCTAAACCATTGAAGTATCGTTGCAAATATAAATAAAAATTGGGTACTTTATTGGAATTTGCTAAACTTAAAATTGGATTTAGAACTTATATAAAGTATGTTTGTTTTTCAGCATGAATAGCTCAATAGTTCAACTCTTAGCTTCGGGAAAACTAAACGGAGATAATTATTCAACGTGGAAAAACAATCTGAATACAATACTAGTCGTCGATGACCTACGATTCGTCTTAACTGAGGAATGTCCACAAA